CTGAATCCTGTTTCCAAGAAGAGCCATTTCTTCCCTTTAGCTGACACTGACTCGTGTGTGGAACTGCGCCCAAGACCTAGGTTGCACATCTTGGTTGATCTGTGAATATGGAAACGATTCAAGAGACCTCAGGGTCCAGTGCATCATGCTTTAAGCCGGCCCTATTGCACACCGCCGGCCCACGCTCCCAGAGCTTAATTTTGGGTTCAATGTTGAGGGTTGAGGGTTTTGAACACCGCAGCGTCTGAAGCTCGACCTCACTGCTTGCCTGCCCCTTGACCATCCGATGCAGCGCGAGAGCGATATTTAGTTTCCTAAGTTGGCACAGGTTTTCCCTGGCACCTTTTCTTGCCTAGTATGCCTACAAAGGCTTTCCCCAAATTACCGGTTAAAAGAACTAAACCCTCAACCCCTAGGCTGCTAATGTAACAACGGCAAACTCTCTTGGCATCCAGGTTAGGGTTATCCAATGAAACTTTAGGGTTTACGGTTTTTTCATGGGTCCCTGAAGCCTAGAACCTAAACCCTAAGCCGATGGCACCTGCCCTTTCGTACTCCACGCAGCCTTTCGGAGAGAAGGTCTCAGTTTCGGTGTGGACCCTTCAGGGCACCAAGCTTTAAAGGAGCCCTATTCGAATTATTAAGGCCTTTAGGAAAGCCCTGCAGCACTGAGAAGAGATCTTTATAACACGAGGATGCTTAGGAGAAGGATGCCCTTGAGGAGCCCTGCGTAGAATCAGTGGCTCAGCCAACAGTTGTCCAAAGAGGCCTTGAATGCGGTCGTTTGGGGGGGCTTTGAATGGGGGTCTGCCTAAACCCTGAACCCCTATGCCTATAATCTTTGAACCAAGGACCGCGGGACCCCAACACCTGTCAGCGGGTCAAGACTCCCAAAGCCCTTCCCGACCCTTTCCAGAGCCTCATCCTTGCTAACGCTGTAATGCAGGGTGGCTGATGTGATGCAGATTCATGGAGCCTGAAGCATTGCGTAGAATTCAACGAGTGTACCAAGGCATGTTGACATCCTGCTGCGAAGGCATGCGACCACAAGACCTAGTCGCTGCCCCTTTCCGAGTTTCCATCTTGTTCCACGCGGCATACCCTTTGCCAGCAGTCAAAGCAGTAGAACTACTACACTTCGCCATTAGTTGCGAAGCTAGCTGCAAAAGTTGGCGGCTGGAGGGGATCCGAACAGTGGTTTTTGCCATCTCGTGTTCTGGAGTGCTGAAATCTTCATGTACAGATGAGATGCTCCACTCCGTCCTAGCATGGTTCTGTGCTTGACCCCGCGGCCTTGGGTGCAAACATGCGAGGCAGCTCTTGTTCCAAGACCTCCGCCTACTACCTTTAGGTCATCATAACATCCGGCAGGAAGCCTTCACCAAGTAGGTGGCTCCTTTGCAATTTTAGGATGCGGGGCTTTGGGCGAGCTTTAGGTTGAAGCATCCTCTTTTGACTTTTGGGTTGCGCTGTTGGGCTAAATTATGGTTACTTGGCGCTTGCATTCGGCCTAGGTTCCGAGTCCTGACTACTATTTGGGCGTGAGGCTTCCAGCAAAGACAGTTCACAAGCTAATACGCTGGTCATACTCATACTCATAAACTCGTACCAATCGAGATACCAATTTTCTATAAGTTTTAATAATTACTAATACCACTCATGCTAATGCATACTGATACGAAACACAGTAATTACTAGTATGCCTTAAAGTCTTTGACCCGGATTCGACTTCATGGAGTCCTTGCTGGTGCACTTTTGGTTGCCTCGGAACTGTTCGCAACATTTGACGTTCTGGTCCGCGCTTGGGCGTGCCCTGGAGCCAGGTGAGCCGTGTCTTTGGGAGTCCGGTAGATGCATGCGACCATATCGAAGCAGATATATTCGTCGTAGTCGGGACTCGTGGCGGTGGCTCTGTTCTTCTTCTTCTTCTTGTAGTTGTGGTGGTTGTTGTGGCCGAGGTGGTTGCTGTTGCTCGAGACTTTGCAGCTTCATTCCGGAGTCCGGTCCGGGGAAGTCGGGTTTGGGCTGCCAAACCGGTTCAGGGGGGTCGTAATACAAGATTCTGGGCCATAGAATATGAATGCCCGAAATCGTGTCTGAGTTGCCTAATATGACTGCCCGAAATCGCAAAACCCGAGTCTCGGCTCACTCCTTGGGTGCCCTGCGCGTCCTGTGTCCTGGCACAAGCCGTTCGACGACCGCAGGCAGTTCCGACTCCAGAGTTGCTGTTGGTACAGAAAGGGTTTAGGGCTTAGGGTTTAGGGTTTAGGGTTTAGGGTTTAGGGGTTTAGGGTTTAGGGGTTTAGGTTTTAGGGGTTAGGGCTTGAACCCTAAACCCTAAACCCTAAACCCTAAACCCCCAAAGCCAAAACCCCAGACCTAAACCCTGCAAACCCAACAGCGTACTTGCAGTGCTCCGGTCGCACACGCTGGCGGAGAATTCCAAAATCTCGGCACGACCGGCCATGTACAGCACCGGGGGTAGCCCGAAGGACAAAAAAAACAGCTGAGTGTATGGCGGGATGCAGGGTTTACGACTGAGAGAGTTTCTGGAATTCGTGTCATAAAGACGGAGTCGTAGCTGTGTCAAAGTTGGTCGTTTAGGGGAGTAGGGTTTAGGTCTATATCACTTGGGTATCATTCGTTTGTTATCCCAAAACTCTGAAACCCTGAACCTTGACCCAACATTGCTTAGCGTGTTTTACGTGGTCTTAAGATTAGCAAAGCAACACCCGGACATGGAAGCCAGTCTTGCCGAAACTGTGACCATTCATGCGAAGCGCTTCCCTGAAAGGCTGTTGCCGAGACACCCGCAGTCTCAGGTCCGTGGCCGCCCCACACAGCTCTAGACATACCCAGACCCTAAACCCTAAACCCTAAACACTACACCCTAAATCCTAAACCCCAAACCCTGAGCCCGGAAGTCCTGTAGAATAACAAGCCATGGGCCTCTTGCACAACGAAATGGTCAGTACTCTGAGGAAAAGTTGAGGAAGTCACCGGCTGGGCAGCTGATGGCGGAAATTGCCGGGGCCTCGGAAACCCTGAATCTGCTGGGAATTGTGGTCATTCCGCCGATTTGAACCCGAAGCCCGAAGCACTGATTCTGAAGCGTGCGAACACTGAAAGCCGGGAGCCCCGAGATTTGGATCCGATGCCTCGTTCCTCGATTTAGGAGTGAGGGTGCAGGGCATGGGATGCCTTGTTGGGTCCAAAACTGGATCTAGGATTTGGGGGTCAAGTTCAGTGTTTAGGGCTTTAAGCTTGGAGCCCAAGTGTTTACAGAACATGTTGCCATGCAAGGTGAGTTGGGTCCACGTCCAGCTTAATTTCAGGAGTCGGGCATAAAGCGTGCATCCCGCCATGCCCAGATTGACAGCAAAGTCGCTGGTAGGAAAGATGTGATGACGTCGAACTGAGATGGGCCCTTAAGCGATACACAAAACTCGTGCACTCCGCCGCCCTTCAGTGTCGCAGGCCACGGCACGAAGCCCAGCAGTGCCGACATACATCAGCCCCGAATGGAAGCTTTGCATAAATTCCACGACGAAGTTGAAAGTGTTGAGACGAGCACGAAGTCCACCGCCACCCCCGTCCCCCGGCCGCCTTCCACCCCCAACCCGTAGGAGATACTCAAAACCACCCTGGTAAGGTGGCGGAGTTCTTCGAATTCTACCAATTCAGGCTTTTGCTGCTTGGGTGATTTCGTAAAAATTATAGGCCTTATCCGGACGGCTTTTAGCATTTTAGCTCGTTTCTTGACGGCAGCGGTGTGTGTCTGCCTAAGCTTGCGCCCGCCTCAGTTGCCAGTCGCTCGAGCCTGAAAAGTTGTAACACAGGGCAGCTTTCGGTGTGGATTTTAGGGGCCTGCAGTAGACTAGGGCTCTGGAGTAGGTTCCAATTTATTGTCATAGTCTTATATTCTTATACGGGAAAAGTATTGGTGAGGGCTTCAAGACAGGATAAGGATTTTCTCAGGAGCTTGGGGGAGCTTGGAGGCGTTTTTGCTTCTGTGTCTATCCTCGGTGAAGGCTTTGGGTGTTATGTAGGGCTATTCTGGGTCATTCATGTTTCAGGCTTTTGGTTTCGGTGTTTGAGCATAACACCTGTGAACTGGACACCAGCGCAGCCGCCAGCTTCGACAAATAGACTCATTCAGCCGAAGGGGGAATGCAATCCTCAAAGGGTTAGATGGTGTTTATACTACCTTGGTAATTATACAGTTTTTCTACTTTGGTAAACCCAATCCAGCACCAGTACTATCCATCCGTTGCTTCCTCCGGAAGTGTGGCAGGACTCTGGGCGTGTCCAGGGTCGGGTTTCCCCTTCTGAACTTTGGGCTTCAGGGTTCAGATGCGTTCGGGGGTTTAGGATGAATCGTTGGGTACATAGAGGAGCTTGTTACAGCAATACAAGGCCTCACCCTCCCGCACCCGGCGCTGTTTCAAATTTTCAAGGTTTTGGGATGTATTTGTTTTGGGCTTCTGCAGCTGTACCTTAACCCTAAGTCCCTAAGCCCTAAACCTGAAACACGAAGGCCGAAGCGCCGCCAGCCAAGCAACGTGGGAATGTTCTTACGTGGGTTTTTTCAGGGGTGGTACTGTTTGCATTTTAGGGTTTAACCTTTCTGGGTTAACATTAGGGCATTGGGAGAGTTTGTCTAGAGCTTCGGTTCTAAACGCTTTGAACAAGTTTGGAGCCCTTCTGGCAACCTCGTGAAACAGGAAGCCCTGTACCCCAAATCCGAAACCTTCTTGGGACCAACCCATCATGCCCCCCAAGCCGGCAACTTGCCTGAACAACGTGCCGTGTTCCGAAGCCACGAACCGCTCAGAATACGGTATTTAGTTTATGAATCTGCATATGCCTATGATAACTTGTTTGTTTGTAGACCTGCCTATCTGCAACCCCTAAACTTTTCGAACCCTGAAATTCTAAGGTCCCAAGCCCTGCACTTTCACCCTCAACCACACCGAAAAACTCGAAGTGATAAAGGAGTTATGGTGTTTATGCTCCTCCGAAGCTTGCAACGCTCGCCGAGGTTGGGCCCGAGTTGAGGTTGATTTTCTTTCAGATTCAGGGCTTGGTAGGCTTTGGGATTTAGGGTTTAGGGAAGTTTAGGGCTTAGGGTTCAGGGGCTTTGTATCCTTAGCCTTTCGGGATTTCGGGTGTAGGGTTTAGCCCTCGAGCCAGCCGTTTAAATTTGCAGGAAACCCGGCATTGCCATGACAAGCTCACTTGGGAGTGCATCCGTTCCACATGGCACCCAGGCCGCATCCATGGGCCAACCATTATGAGATAGTTCACTCAGACCAAATCCCAGGTCAGTTTCGCATACAAAACACCGAGGGCATTTTGGGCTGTCTCACGCACATCAGCTGCACATGCCCAATCGTTGCGAATGTTCATGAAGTCTTGAGCCTACCAGCGAAGTCGTCAATGCTGACAAACTCTGTGGCTTCGTGCACCGAAGCGGGCCTCAAGATTTTGGGTGCATGTTCCCGCCCGGTTCGAACAGGATTTCGGGTCTTTGTGGAGCTTTAGTGTTCTAGTGTTGAGGGTTGTAGGGTTTATTCTCTTAGGGTGCAGCCTGTCGGGTTCGAGCGTTTGGGCGTTCGAGGTGGACCGTGTAGGATCTCGAAGTGTAGTGCTTCAAGATCGAGTCTGGAGTCTTAGGGCGGGCTTTAAACGTTGGGCCTTTGTTGCAGAGTCCCTCGGGTAGAGTTCTTTGCGAATGAAGCAGTCTTCAAGCATCACCACGACCAGCCACCATCATCATGTGAATTATTCTCTTCAGTATCACTGCTGCACCAGCATGAGCGGTTTGATGCATCGCCGCCATCATCATCGCTCTTTCGTGATGTCCATCATCATTGCCATCATGATTGGTAAACTTTGCATCGCCATCATTTGCGCAGCCACCGCCAGCAGCACCGCCATCGCGATCATCAGCATAGCTACCACCATCAGCACCATACACCATCGTCACTATCCAAGCATTGCTACTGAGTGGAAGGCTGTTTTTGCACTCGTCGCGACACTGCTCGACGTCTGTTCCGGGTTCTGTAAGCCGCGTCTTCGAGCTCTTTGAACGGAATCTCGGCACGAAATCAGGCTCTCTAGAGCTTTACGGACAGCTAGGGGAAAGGAGTTGAGGGGTTTACAGATTTCGGCTTTCTGTGTTCGGGTAGTATTTTCGCCAGGAGTTGCAAAGAAGTGGATGCCTGCACTCAGGACAACCCCAGTTCAGCTCAACCTGGCAAGATGGATTTTGAAGTAAGAACGTGGCAGGTCTCAACTTTATACCATCTCGAAACCTTCATTGCAAGCCCCGAAGTCTTGACTCTCTGAACACCCACTGCTTGACGACAAATCCCTAAAGGCCTCTCAGAGCGAGGCATGGGAAGGGCGACTACATCGGCGAAGATGTCTCGCAGCTGGAGCATGCCCTGCAAGCTGCGGACTTGGCCCACAGGCCTCCAGCGATCCACCCAAAGCGCGAAGCTGTAACCCGGAGCCCCCTAAACCCCAAGCCGTAAAGCCTAAACCCCAAACCCGAAGCATCCCTTATGTCTCGAAGCTTTGAACGCACGAACCCTTAGCGCCCTAAGTTCTCGACTCTGCACCCAAGGCCCGTGGGCTTCAAACCTTTCAGTCCCGACAGCCCTGGAGCCTGATAGTAGCCCAAAGCCACAAACTTTTGAGAGTGGAACGCCGTGGCGTACCATACTGAAGCTTTTAGGGCTCAGGGTTTTAAGGGTTTTAGGGTTTAGCCCTGAAGCACGGAACATCAAAGCGAAATAAAGCGCCTTGGAAGCAAATGCCAAGCAACAGACGTCCAGAAGGACAACCCGAGGACGAGACTAGACAAACAGAACCCGGTCGGACTATGTACTATAGGGGCCTTAACAATTACCTGTGCTACTTTGGGGGGTTCAATATTACAGCTATAGTAGAATGTACTCCAAAACTAGTCTACTTACTCAGGCCCCGCATTAGTTATTTCCATGTTAACGCAAGCATATGGATAGTTCTTTAAATTAGGGTCCCTTTTTCGGTCCCCCAAATACAAAGTACGGCACCCTTGTGGAAAGGACTCTTTCCATGTTAGCAAAAACTTATGCAGGTCAGGTCATGGGTTAGAAGCAACACTGGCAGCTCTCCTCCACGACGTGGGACACCTCTTGGGCCCCTCGGTGGTTTATGGCAAAGGTGTGAGTAAGGGGGGTTAGGAATCTGGGGTTTAGGATTTGAGAGTTTACGGCTGCAGATGACAATTTTGGGTTTTAGGATTTAGGTTTGGGGGCATTTCAGGTTTCCGGCTGCGGGGTTCCAGGATGTACAGCTTAAGGGATTTACTTCGTAGTAGAGCAGACAACCTTCAACCCTTTCGGGAGACTGTACTCCCTGTATAATATAATCCCAACGCTTAGCCTTTGGTTCCCCTAGGATACTGGACAAGTCAACCCTAAGCCTAAAGTTGCCCTGAACCCCTAAACCCATAAAGCCCATAAACCCCTAAACCTTGAACCCTAAACCCTAGGGTTCTAGGATTTGCATTCCAGGATTGAGGATTGGAGGATTTGAGAAATTGGAAGCTCGGGGGGTTGGCGTTTAGGGTTCACGGTCTAGGGGTTTTTCTGAAGTTTTAGGGGTGTAGGGTTTAGGGCCAAAGTTTAGGGTTTCTAGGGGTTTAGGGTTCACGGTTTAGGATTTTTTGGGGGGGTTTGGGGGGGCTTTAAGGTTTCTAGGGCTCTAGGGTGGGACCCAAGGCACGGAGGACAAGTCGCATGCCAGAATGGGCGATTGCGGAATAGCCAACCATGAGACTCGGGCCGCATTGGATACCCCTAAATCTTAAGCAAAAATCCGAAACTCGAAATCCTATACCCAATGGGACTCCTGGCGCAGGGCACAGGCAACTTCAGCTCATTGGAGTCTTGGAGAAGAGAGTGAGGGGGAGAGATAGAGCAGTAGTAGCAGTAGTAGCAGTAGGAGTCGTGGTAGCTGCAGTAATGGTAGTGGTAGTAGTGGTGGTAGTGATGGTAGTGATGGTAGTAGTAGTCGTTGCTGTACTGCAGCAGCAGTAGTAGCAGTAGTCGTCGTCGTAGTGTAGTAAAGTAACTTAGGAGCAGTAGGAGGAGGGGCCGCAGGGGGAATGTTAGTAGTAATGACCGCTCCTCAACTAAGTCGACTCTACCCCATCAAGCCCGGCAAGACACGCTACTCCAAAGAGAACCTACCCTGATCCTGCACAGATTGTAGGCCTGTTGTCTGTTGGTTAGCTTAGGAGGTAATCCTAAGAAGTCACTACATGTTTGGGTTAAGGTACCTGCGCAGCATCCTGAAACTTATCCATGTCAGGAGAACTTGGGTGGCGAGTGGCTCGCCGGCCTAGGCTGGTGTCAGGATTTTGAGTTTGACTTGTGGAGTTCTTGGAATTGTAGCATTTGGGGTGCCAGGTCTGGTGTGTCGTGGCTTGTGGCTTGGGTTTGTAGGATCGAAGGATTCAGGGCTTTCGGGTTTATGAGCGATGTAGGGTCAAGGGCTTACATAAGGTTTAGGGCTTCGGGTTTGGAGCCTGTGTCCTCGATCCGAAAACGATCCTTTCTGGGGTCAAAATCTCAGACTGTTCACAGGCTTCTCTCCAAGAGTGTGCAAGCTCGTCTCCCGGCATGTGGATGCCAAGCGATACCTCTGCGCAGTGAACCAGGACCGTGCTTCTTAGTTTGGTCAGCACTTCGGGTTGCCAACAACCCCACTCACTTGTCAAATTCCCTTCTCAAACCCAACACAAATCCGTAGCCTCTACATAGAAAGTTCAATCAGCAGTGATCTGTTTGTAAACTGCTTCCACAGTAAAGTTTAGACGGTTGTGCCTCGGCACAGCAGACCCGCTGCACCCCACAAGGTTTGGGTTGGAAAAGGCAAAGCCGGCATAGTCTTTTGCTCTGTCGCTGGTCTGGTCTGGGCTAAGGTGAACAGAAAACACTGGATGAATAACGACGAGCATTGCCACGACCAGCAATCTTTTCAGGAGTATCACGACACACTGAGTTCTGCTTCAAAGACGACCCTGAACCTTGGCTGGTTTGAGGTCTGAGGTGTGCAGAGCGCCGTAACTCCATGTGCCTTGTGCGCATGGCCCCTGACAGCATGATGGAAGACCCAGAAAGCGCAATGCCAATGGTGCTTCGCTCCCAGATGCTAAAGAGTCTACTGTTCCAATGCTAAACCCATCGTCTAGCTGTGCCGCCTCGACTGTGTGCATGGATATGAACTTCAGCGTGGGCTGCAAGAGTCACCAGGCATTGCAGATCTGTACAACCTGCATAGTGCTAACTGTTGCTTAGGCTCCTCGTGATCACTTTGTTTAGGTCTGCGTTTTTGGAAGCAATTCCCAAACCCTATAAAACTCAAGTCCCTCCAACAAAACCCTCTACTCTATACCTTCAAAATCCTGCAAGAAGACACGACGTCCTTCGATGTGAGTGTCCTCAACCCAGGATCCACCAGGGTGGACCCATGACCCAGGAGGCGGACCTAGGGGGGTTTATCAGCATGTACATGTAAGGGCGCTGTAAGGTTGCAATTTAAGGGTTGCTTCAAGTTCGGGTTATGGGCACTGTATAGTCGTTGTTCAAAGGATCTGCCCCCAGCCTGGCCATCGGATAGGTTCGCTTTCAAGAAATAGTCGGGTCTGCTAGTATGGAAGTACGTATCGGAACTGTTTCGAAGTCTTGCGGATCCTCCCGGGCCGAAGCAAGTGGTGAAATCCAACTTGTCAAACTGGGCAGGATGTTCTGCATAAGGGTATCTATAGCAGACAGGCTTTACTGCAACAGGGGGCCCAACATGACACAGACAACATCCCCCAGTAGAAGTTCTGCCTGCTTTGCATCCGACGAAATTTGGTAATAGCTGCACTAAAACTAGTTGATCTCTGGACCTTGCAGCGAAGCCCTGTAATCCAAGCTTCAACCCCTCGTCGCTTGCGCAGGAGGCGAAAGCCTTCGAAGAGGAGGTGCAGAGAAGGGACACTTAGCTCGATGCCCCGAGCCCAATTTTGAGCCTTGGGATTACGGGGTTTCGGGCTTGGGGCTTAAGCCGGAGCATGAGGCTAAATAGTCGACTAATAACAAGTTGGCACCCAAACTCTGTCTCTTGCGGCTGCGGGTACCCCACACGGAGCCCTGGCAGAAACTTTTGGCCCTCATGCATGGACACGCATACCCAAACGCTCAAACCGCAAGCCCGCGAACCCTTGTCCCAAGCCCATGCTGAAGCTGCGACACAGCATCAAGTCCTAGTTCCAGGATGCAAACAGGCTCAAGCGGTTCAGGCCTCGAGTTAGGCATGGTTTAGGGCCGTTTAGGGTTGAGGGTTTAGGGCTTACGTATTATATGTAAAATGTATGTATGTATGTGTGTGTGTATATATATATAATTATCGATACATCTCTCTCTCTATATATAAATATAGATAAATAGATAAATATATATATATATATATATATATATGTACATACACAGTATGGCAAGTATGGGGATTTCCCTAAATTAGGGCCCTTTTTGTCCACCAGGAGCTCTTCAAGCTGATCCTGGCAATGCGCCGGTGGGATGAGGCAGCCAAGGCAATCCACCCGCACTGCTGCTACAATTTCTGTTTAACAATGCCAACAATAGTACCAAAAATAATAACAATAATAATAGTAACCATAATAGTAGTTGTAATCCTAATAATAATAATAATACCAATAATAATAATGATAATAATAATAATAACAATAATAATAATACTAGGAAGACTTCGACTGCAACGGCAACTGATGCTGCATACTCCTTCCGCTTCCACTAGTGCTAAACACCAGGCAAAGTCTGGGTGAGGTTTATGGAGCTTGGGGGTGGAGGTTTCGGGACGAAATCTACGGGTTTGAAGCACTGTGCCGGGATGAGACTAGCTCTCTTTGATGCTGGGTTGCTTAGGTCTGACATGACAGAGCAAATGCCCCAAAAACGCTATTCCCCCAGCCTTAAACGTAACCCCAAGCTCCAAGCTTGAGCCTAAGCCCGGAATCTAAACCAAAACCCTACAACCGAAACCAAAGCCCTTGACACCCCTAGCGAGCGCACGCCAGGTGAAGGGGAAGAAGGTCCCAGAACTCGACTCTGAGAGCAACTTTCAGTGGCTTAGGGTTTAGGGTTCAGGGTTGAGGCGTCTAGGGTGAAGGGAGGTACGGTAACACGACTATTCAGGGGTCGAAAGAGTTCTGGGCTGCAACATAGCAACAGCGGGTGAGTCGCGTGGCGTGACTTTGACAAAAACAACTAGCAAACACGAGTCGCAGAAATCACCATAGCCATCATCATGCTGGCAATAATACTTATGCAAATTACAACAGCACCCGCTAACGTGCAAGACAATTTGTTTGATCACCATCGTCACCTATGATTCCTAGATTGGTCAAGCAAGTGTGGCTACAAGTCGCACTACATACACCTATGGCAAGAACAAGTGTAACAGCAACAGTGATAGTGCTCGGTTGACTTTGTGGCAGCATGTTTTGTTTTAAGCTTTGGTAGTTTGCTGATTTATGTAGTAGAGCAAGTAACCTTTAAACTTGTAGGGCAAGCTCATCCCTATATCACTCCGCAAGTTACTCCTTAGTTCCCCATGGAAACTGGACAACTAGAAGCTAGAACTTGAATGCACGCCCCTCAAATCTGGTGTTTGACGTGGCCGCTGGCAAGCATCAGGCCTTAAGCCCTGAACTAGAAAGTCGGTTTGAGATTCGATCTGGCCGCTTAGGCTTTGAGGTTCAGGGTTGAGGGATCAATGTCATCACGTTGAAGCTGTGCACCCGCGATGCCACTTACTGCTTACTACAGAAAGTTACGATTTACCTAGGCACTCGTACCTTCATGGAAAACCTTGATAAACAGCAAGCCTCACACGAGAGAATGGGCCAACAGAGCGTGTCTGCCAGACTTGAGTAAAGGAAATCACCGCGCGTCTTTGCGCTCTTGTTCAGCAGCAAAGGTCTCAGGCTCCGAAGATAGAAATGAAGAAGCAAATGAGTTGAGTGTGTGTATCCATACGGGTATGTATGTTTGTATGTATATATATATATACATACATATATATATATGTATATATACTTACATACATACATACATACATACATACATACATACATACATACATACATACATACGTGCGTGTTAAGTCTTCGTATTGCGGTGTAATGTAAGAGCCTGATTAAGAAGCCTTCTGCTTCACGGTTGCAGGTTTCAGGCTTCATCCCCTTGTGCCCTAAACCCCAAACCTGCACCCCGTCCAAACGAGTCAGGGTAGGAGGCTGCTTGCATGTAAATGCTACAACGTCCAGAAATACGAGTATAAAGGCGGGTAATGTATATATATATATATATACACGCATGCACATGCACATTTACACGTGTATACATATGCATATATACATAGTTTCAGATGTTCATAGGCATGCATATAGTCATCTAGTCATATGGCCTTACACTCATATACTCAAATGTTCATGTACTCATATAACCACGTATATATATATATATATATACACACACAGAAACGAAGATATGTGCATGTGCGGAGTGAGTCAGTGAGAGAGAGTGAGTGAGTGAGTGAGTGAGTGAGTGAGTGAGTGAGTGAGTGAGAGTGAGTGAGTGAGTGAGTGAGTGAGTGAGTGAGTGAGTGAGTGAGTGAGTGAGTGAGTGAGTGAGTGAGTGAGTGAGTGAGTGAGTGAGTGAGTGAGTGAGTGATTGAGTGAGTGAGTGAG